ACAGCTTCCAATAAAAGCTGCAACGTGCAATTCAGCAAAGACGCAAAGTCAATAAATATGCAAAAGGGCTATGACTGCATGGCCCAGGCACGGGGCTCTGGGTCATCTCTCCCTCTGCTGAGTCAAGGAAAGGCTCTAACACATTCTATACTTCACTAGCTTTAAAATGTCTAGCTACAGGCCACATGCGATGGTTCTCGGTGTTCCTGGTAAGCTCCAATGCACAACTGATTCCTTCTGACCCCCTCAGCTAGTTCTTCTCCCCATTACCTGAGTTGGAACCCGGAAACCATCTTTGGTACCTCCCTCCCCATCATTCCCATCTCTGTTACCACATCCTATAGACACAACCCTTTTCTTCCCTCCTCGGCTTTCAGTAATTCATTCATCGAATATGCACTATCTACTATGTGGTGTAAATTCGTCAGGGAGCACAGTGGACAAAAAAAAATCCTTGCCTTCATGGAGCTTACTTTCTCATTGTGGAGACAATAAGTAATATAAATAAGTAAAATGCATAGTATGTTAGATAGTGATGGGTGTTAAGGAGAAAAAGAAAGGAGGGAAGGAGATATGAAGTTTTGGAGAGGAGGGTAGAGATTTTTTAACAGGGTAGCTAAGCGAGGCCTCACTGTAAAGGGACCATCTGAGTTTCACCTTGAAGGAAGTGAGAGGATCTGGGGGAGAGCGTTCTCAGCATGGGAACGGCACGTGCAAAGGCCCTGAGGTGGGAGTATGCCCGGCACGATTGAGGACCAGCCATGAGCAAAATGTGGTTGAAGCAGAATAAACGAAAGGGACGGCAAGAAGGTGATGGGGTCGGATGGGTAACCGGGGATCAGATCGTAGCCCTGGGAGGTCGCACAGGGATGGGACTTCTCTCTGAGTGAGACAGAAGACCGCAGAGGCTTTGAGCAGAGGAGAGGCATTTCAACAGGAGCCTTCTGGCAGCTGAATTGAAAGCAACAGAAAGGGCAGGGAGAGAAGTGGGGGGACCAGTTTAGGGGGGTCCTGCCCTTTCCTTCTGTATTAGTCAAAACCATCAGCACCCCTCACTTGGGCTCTGTCCATAGTTTTCTACCTGGGCCACCCTTTCTCTCCCTAACGCCTGCCAAACTTCCCCTCAGACCCTCCCACTGCCCATTAGGGATGGACTCAGTGCAAAGCTAGAACTCAAGCCCTCCACGCACCGCATGGCCCTACCTCGCCTTCCCAACCTTCCCACCCAGGCCTCTGCCATGCATAGCCAACACACCAGCCACAATACACTTGACCTTCTTGCCTTTGCTCTCTCTGACTAGAATACTCCCACCATGCCCCCTCCATCTACTGAAATTCTCCCAGTCTTCCAAGGTTCATCACGAATGCCACCGCCTCCATGAAACCTTTCCTGATCCCTCAACTAGACTAGACGTTCCCTTGCTTGCCTTTGAACCTCACGCCACTGTGTCCAGCCTCCTTTATGGTCTTTAGCATATTTTCATCTGTATTTGTCCTGTCTCCCTCAGTGGACTGTACGCTCTCTGAGAGCAAAGCCTGGCTCACTCATCTTCATATCTGCCACAGCATGGAGTATATGACCCCTTCCATAGTGTGAATGTTGTTGGATTAAATGGTGACAATATAATCCTTTAGTGGTAAAAATTCTGTAAATTTCAATGGCCTCTTTAAATCATTCATCACCTCAGAGTGACCCCTTTATTTAGTTAATATTGTAAACATATTACACTCTAACATAAAAGTCTAGCAGAAAAAAATATGTTATATTTTATGCTAATTTATAATGCTATGCAATTAAGCTTAAAAAATTAAAAGTGGACACAAAAAGTTTTTTTTTTCTTATGATTAACTTCCACCCAAAGTTTCTATTTAGGAAGATACCCAGTTAAATTTAGAAGACATCAAAATGGACCTCCAACCTCAGAAAAATTGATCCACGTAAATATTTTAGGTGTTTATTTTTATTGGTAAGATTTTGGTGCAATCAGTGCGAATCTCTTTATGGAAAGGTGATGCGGACACACTAAAAATTCTTTCTCCTTTGTGGTGTTTTATAAAACACTCTTATTCCTGCATAATTTATATTAAGAATCTAGAAACACTGAGTCAGACTTTCTCGATGCCTAACATTAAAATATGGAGGCAGAGAGTCAAAAATATAGTATATTTTCTTCTGGTGCTCTCTACAATAGAACTTTCCAGAAGGGCACCGTTCAGCATGGTCCAAATCATTTTCTTTTTCAGGAAGTTCACGTTAACAGCTATCCTTCCACCACCTCTCTGAAGGAGCTAATACTATATTCAAATTTTATGCATGAAATAAAGACTCAGAGAAGCCCTGCTCCAGAAAACAGAACAAGAGGAAAGATGATCTGGGAATCAAACTCAGATTTAACTCAAAAGAAAATCTTAGCAACCATTCTTTAATTAAAGACCTTAAGAACGCATCTCAGCTGTCTAATATGAATTATGTCAACACTGGAATAATTCCCAGAGATTTAACTTGTTCTTTTGAAAATCAGGTTACATGTGAGACTATAGGTCTAATTTCATTTTCTATAGTTGAGAGGTATCAGATACCTTAAAGGAAGTCAATATGTATAAGATAAAGTTAAATTAACTTTATATATTCTAATTGAACATTATTTCAATATCGCCAATATAATTTGAATTATTTTTAGCAGAACATTCTCCTGTTACGATCCCATTAAAACAGAATTCCCTTTTAACAGGAAAAAAAAAAGTGTCTCTTGAAGTTCCCGTCTAGATACAACTGGAGATTCCAGTACAGGTGGAAATAATAAAATGAACCGGCTCTGTGTCCTAATCAGGAGGTTTAGCCACAGAAGTGAGATCAGTCATCAGGATTAAGGCACAGATTTAAGAAGGCTGAGAATTAATCCGAAATACAAGACAATCAGAACAGAAACAGATTTTATCAACAAACTACCCATTACTGTTAAAAGCCTCCTCTTATTCTTTCTTTTAAAAGAAAATATTCTGAACCATGAAACTGAGCAGAGAAAAGATGGTGGGGAGCAGTCCTTAGCAGCGCAAGAAGATATGCAATAAAATAGCGTACAGATTCAATTTTTTAAAATAATTTAAAAATTCTGAACCTGCCTGCCTAAGTGCATGTCCCCGCAGAAGCAGGTCCTGAGACAAGAATTCAAATTCAAACGTTCATTTGGTTCAGGAAGTACTGGACGGGAGCATGGACATGATGCACAGGCAGAGGGCAGCCCCCAGAGGATGCCGAGCACACCGAAGGACTGTCTCAGCCATGACGCGAGGGGACTGGGCGTCTGTCTGTCATTGTTTAAGGCTGCTTCGGTGGGGCGTGGGGAGGCCAGTGTGCTGACTCCTTGGCATGTGAACCTGCCTCAAGCGGGAACCAAGCAGTTTCCCAGCCCACAAAGAAAACCTTCCCACGAACGATGCGAGTACTGACAACCAGCAGGCCTCCGCCATGAAGACGGTAAGGTCCAGAGTACAGATGGGACAGTGACAGCACTGTCCACGCTGCGTCCTCCCGGAGAACTCCGTTCCCATCAACAGTGGTATCTGCTGTTGGCATTTCCTATCGACCTTCTCGCTCTCTTCTATCCACTCTCCGATAGAGCGTCTGTTTCACACTCAAGGCATCTATTCCCAAACTATAAAATATACAATTTTAGCTTATGTATGCCTTTATCTCTCCATAAATTAAGTCTACTTTACATTCTACTTTATGTTTTCCATAAATTAAGATGCCAAGTCCATTCCTCTCTTGTAAATTCTTTAGCATCAACATTGCTTGTTTTCAACAAAATTGTAAACAAAAAAGTCAGTCTGTTGGTAGTGGCCATAATGGTCCCTAACACATCCACGAAACACGATGGTGCACGGAGTAAGAGCGCAGGCCACAAAGGCTTCCAGAAAATTCTTTATGTTATGAAAGCAGCAGAAGAAATTTTGGCAGTTCCGAAAGTACACACAGTTGTAACAAAACGATGAGGCAGGCAGGGGGCCGGACAGTGCCTCTCTGGCCTCCCTGCATACACAGCCAAAGTGAGAGGATAACGTGCCTTAGGTGAACGTTACCTAACATGACCTTGACCAGGGTAAGCACTTGATAAATATTCGGCTTCAGCTTTTCCAAAAAATTATCAATTCCTGGATTCAGGAAATAGCAGAAACTAATAAGAGTGTAGCGTCGTAGGTTTCTTGGATTAAATAAACTCATTGCCACTTAACCGATATATTGACTACGGGACAAAGACTGGCTGGTGAAGATTCATGGGAACTGTTTAGGTTTGAGAATTGCCTAACCCACCTTTAGTAAGGTCATCGTTTTTTTTAAGAGAAATAAAAATGAAAAAGTAGACCAGAATGCATCACTAAGACTTTCTAGATGTTTCTGCGTTGAGTTTGGAAGCCCACCCCCTGACTGCCCTTCTCTCTGCTTACTTACGAGCATGGACAGAGCGACTGTTGAGCGAGTTTTCTGTCTAGTGGTAGGTTTTATATTTATGTTAGGATCAGGCTGTACCACCAAACCCACCATTGCCCTGAAACAAACCGTCCCTTAGACCATGCGATCGGCATTTTAAAAAATCAGACATCCGTAAAGATAGTAAATGCTATCTATGTAAATGTCTGTATCTTTGGATCTAACTCAGTGCTGCCCAATCTGTAAGGAAGAATCATTTTATTATTATTATTATTTCCAGTCTATCACGTATTGACACTTTCGTAAAATACATTAAAGATGAATCGTTACAAAAAGCGAATTTAAAAAAAAAAAAACATATTCAATATAAGCCCAATTAATTGTTATTAGATTCAACAGGCATAAAATTACTGTCAAAATTAATTATGATTAGATTCAACAGGCATAAAATTACTGCATAAAATTACAGCAATGGGTGGTAGGCAGCACCGGGCTGGAATCGTGGTTTAAGTAACACTAATCTAAAGTGTTTCAGATCATTTTTAGTTATTAAAGAGATAGGCTTTACCTCTGACATTCTTTCCAAATCCCATAGAAGAAACTTTTTTGTCCACTTGTTCACTGTTATTCGATTTCTCCTTCACGACGTCGTCATCATTGACGGCATCGACAGAAAATTTTTTCTTTTTCTTTTTCTTGTGTCGAGGCGGAAGCTTTTTCGGAAAAGTAAACATTGGGAATATCACAAGAAACATTGCAATGGCACAAAGGAGGAATCCGCTCCACCTGAAAAATTGGGAAATGTGAATAGTGTTTACGGCTTTTGCAATATGAGTGAGAACAAACTAGCAGAGTAGAAGTTTGGGGTGATAAAATTCTCCAGCGAAAACTTTTTACCTTCATCACTGTGAAGCGGTAGAAAGTTGGACAAAGAAAATATAGGAACATTCCCTCTCTGCAGTACAAACGAGAAATCTACCCAATAATTATACTGGTATTATAATGAATATTATAATCAGCACCTTGACTAGAATATCATTTGAGTATTTTAAGCACATATATGTTAGTTCTGCCAGTTAACATTGTCCTGCTACGATGTGTATTTTACAATAAATCAATAACTCATAGACTTAACAGGAAAATAATACAGACTCTATAGCATGCTTTGTGGGCCAATATAGAGAATTTTTTCTTAGAAGAAAACCATGTTAACTGGCTGATGGCACTCTAATATTTTTCTACAAACCCTTGAGAGTGCTCTGATCCTCTTAGCTCCCTGTCATAATGCTAAACCACGAGAGCCACCCAGGACATTTCATTTGCTCCTTGCCTTTGAGAATGTACGATCTAGTGGTAAGTGAGCTGAAACGTAAGAAGCAATCTCCAAAATATGCAAGGATGCGTACAACTAAGTGTCAGATCATGTCCTATAGACTCTGAATGCCACAGCAGCTCAGACAGGGGGACTGCGGGTCAGCAAGCTTCCAAGAAGCAGAACTTGAGGCTCCTTTTTTGAACTCGTCTGAGGCCGCCATGCTGCAGAGACCACGTACAGGGAGGGGAACTGGACTCCTAGTCCTGCATTTGAGCCCGGGTTAATTTCTCAGTCTCCTTGCAACCTTTTCTTAGCAAAAAGAGGCCCCAGGTCCTACCTAACACGCCCCACCACTTTCTAACTAGGATTCCTCGACTCCAAACTCCATCCTGAAAGCTTCCAAGTTCATGAGCACTCAGACTCTGTCCTCTGTCTCGACACGTTCCCGTCAGTTGTCACCAGAACACAAGCAGCATTCTAAGCGTAATGCTGAATTCAACCCAGTAAGAATATAGATCAATTGCAAAGTGAAAACTCATTTGTAAAAATAGTGTTTGTATTAGTGTTTAGTGTCGTCGGCTGCTAAAGGTCATAGCTTAGCTGAGAGGAGGATTTCCAGAACGAGTCATTAATAATCCAGTGTGTTATTTTCAAACATTTTTAAGGTTATATCAAATAAAGATTTTAAGACAATCGGAGGAGGTTTTATTTTGAGAAGATTGCTCAGGGCAGACTTGTAGCGATCTCACTTAGTCAGAATATAATCATGAACCCACCGCCTGACACAAGTTAGGTACTCAAAAAAATGTCTTGAATAAATAAATCGAATAAAATATATTTTTAAAAAACAAAGTCATCTGTCTGCAGGAACATAGCTATTATAATATCTGGCCCCTTGAGCACTTGGCTGCTTACAAGGCGTCTACTAACCCGGCCCTGCTCATCGACCATTCCTGAATCTTTCTACAAACCCTACAATCACTTCTCCTGAACCTCCAGTTCCTCAGACCTCTCCTGCTCTCTCCACAGGAGGGCAGGCAGCATAGTGTAAGGGACAGTTCTTGAGCTGCAGCTTCAGACAGAACTGGGTTTTTCTCCTGTCTTTGCCACTTACTCGCTCTAAGATCCTAGAGAAGTTATTTGCTTTTCTGAACTGGCTTTCTCATCTGAAAGGGGCAGGGGGTAAAAATAACTGTTTGGGGGTCACCAAAATAATAAGACCATGTATGGAATGCACCTAATAAAATGTCGGCCCTATCTGCAATCAATTCGTAGTAGCTGGTTTTGTTTGTTTTTACGTAGATATATTCTCCCCCCCCCCCCCCAGAGCCATTGACTCAAAATTATAATGCAAACATCTCCCAAAGCGAGAGTAAAAAACAGAAGAAGAGAAAGAATTATAGGGAATAAACAATAATATAAAAGTTTGGGGGCATCTCTAAGCAGAGCCAGCCAGCCCGCATTCAACGGTCTACAGTGACACTGCAGTGAACGCGTGACGTAACGCTGGTCCTAAAGGGGACACCAAGGAAAGCTGAGTAGGACAAGAAAGTGCACATCATACGCTGGAAAAAGACACCTGAGTGAGAGCCAAAATTGAAAAGCCAGGGTCCCTGGCTCCTTTTAATGCACCATTACTCAGAGACTGCTCTCTAAAAGGGGTGGGTTAAGTCTACGGCCTAAGCATCCACCTGGACCCAGTTCCTCCCAGCTCTCACTGACTCTGAGGCTCCGGGCAAGTTATTCAAATGGCTGAGCATCAATTTCCTCATCTGCAAAACGGGCAAAAGATAAGCGACTACAGATGGTTGTTACAAGGCTTAAATGAAAATGTGTGTAAAGTTCTTGGTGTAATGCTTGACACAGAAACCTCCCAATAAATGCTAGCGTGAATCGTTCATTTCCCCCTTCACTCTTTCAGCATATGTTTATGGAAAAACATATCATTCTGCAAGGCATGGTATAAAGTCACACTGTCAGATAACTATGCCTTTGTTCAAGGTGGAAGTCTTACAAGCAGGGCTACTCAATAAACGAATCTCATTTTAAATTGACCCCTATTTAGATTTGCATATTGAGAAATTTTATCATTCGTAGAACTAATGCTGGGCCGTTAAAAATGAATAAAACTCCCTGAACATTGATGAAATTCAAAGGACTAAATAATAACTCACACATATTAGGTAGCAAGAACTACAGAGCTCTGCACATATAGATTCATTCACTCCTCACAACGACCCTATGAGGTAGGTACTGTAACTGCTTCCATTTTACAGATTGATAAAATGACAGCAACCACTGAGACAGAGAGAAGTAAAGTAACTTCCGCAAGGTCACATAGCTCTGCGGCGGCCGACTGGGACCAAAACCCAGGAGACTATGGCTTCAGAGTCTGCCCTCTCAGTCACTCCACTTTGCTACCAACTGGGTTGACGTCTACTAGAAAACTTTTTAAAGATGGCAGAAAGCACGCGTGAGCCTAAAGCCCCTGCTCGCTTCTCCCTGACCCCGAGTCGGTCCCCTTTGCCTCTCTCCTCCCAGATGTTCCCTTATTGCCCTGCACTTCTCGCAGACGTCTGTATGGAACACAGAATATAGATGGGATGTGCGTGAATATATTTTAACAATCTAGTTTTCTGAGAATCAAAAAAAAAAACAATCCTTACTCTGATTTATTTCAAAACTTGAAGGAAAAAAAATCTCTAGTGGAGACCAAAAATTTCACTATCAGTAAAGAACTTAAAATTCCTGTGTTATTCCCCTAATGCTGACGAGGGAATTTCCTTTTGTATAATTTCAAAATTGTGGAAGGCCAGGCTCATCGAAATCTCAGCACGTCCATGGGCAAAGAGCATTACTTAAGAAAGTAAGAAGTGTCGTGTGGCTTAATTAATATTTGTTAACTGCTTTGAAAATAGACCGTGTTAAACATCTATTCCCGTGGACTCGAAGTTATGAGGTTATTACCTTATAACGAAGCAGAGAGAGAACTCTAAGAAACTCTTTAGAAAGCAATTCTTGACCCTAATGTCTAATGCTACAGTATTCTCTGCTATAAAATGAAAATTTCTTATCGATATATACCTATTACTAATCCATGTTAAACGAATTCGGGACACTAATACTTCCAGTTAGTGCTTACAATACTGAAAAAAAATAAAAAGAAAAACCCTATGTTCAAGTAAAGGGCTAAAAACACAAACAGGTTGAATAAATAACCTAACGTCTAAAGTGGAGCTCCCATTCTAAGTCCTAATTTATTATTTAGCAGGACAACTAAGGGCTAGCGAGTGACGGAGAAGCTAAGTCTCCAGCACACACAGAGAAACAAACTATCGCTGACTGAAATGACCCATTCACCGAGTGTGACGACGAGAGAGGAGGGCTGGAGTTCTGGGCAGTGGGAACGGTGGACAAAGCGGTGGACATAATAAGGAAGTGGGGGGGAAATATTTTTTTAAAGGCACAGAAAAGACCGTGAAAGCTGTGACTTAAGTTCACAGGAAAGTCCCAGCACAGCCACATCACCCTTTCCTCCCTTCTGCTATAAAGGAAACAAACGCCTCCATCCTCAAGATTGAGGACTGAGCCAAGATTCCCGAACCCTCCGTATTCGGTGCCTGTAGTTGCTGCAACAAATTACCACGCACTTAGGGGCTTAAAACAACACAAATGTATTCTTCTAGTTCTCGAGGTCAGACGTCTAAAATGGGTTGACGGAGCTGCATTCCTTCAGGAGGGTCTAAGAAAGAACCCGTTTCCTTGCTTTACCAGCTTCTAGAGTCCGCCTGCAATCCGCGGTCCCTTCCTCCATCTTCAAAGCGCATCGCTCCAACCTCTGACTCGATGGCCACAGTTCCTTTTCTTCCTCTGCCCCTCCTGCCCCCTCTTTCCTTTATAACGACCCTCATGATTATATCGGGTCGAGCAGGATAATCTTCCCATCTCAAGGTCTTCAACTTAATCACATCTTCAAAGTCCCTTTTCCCATGTAAGGTGATATATTCATAGGTTCTAGGGTTTAGGACATGGATAACTTTAGGAGATTATTATTTTGCCTACCACCTCCTCCTGGGTGATTTTTAGTTATTTTTCATCTTCCCATTGGGAAAATTTTTATTTCAACGATGAAGGTACTCTCTCATTAATAATAAATGAAATGAAAAATGTAGTAAACAGTTCTTACCAGTTTCCAATGAAACGAGGGTCATTCTGGTCAAGGCGAACAGGATTTCTGGGATCAACATAAAAACCAATAAGAAGTCCACCTAATAAATATCCCACTGCAGGACCAAGTGCTCCCATGACATACATGATGGCTGAGAAGACAAAAGGAGAAATATAAAATACGGCGACATGTTACTTACGTTTCAGTATTTGTCTAATTTCAGTCAGACCAAGCACATGTCACGGTTAAATCCAGTTAACTTCCAAAAACAGAGAACTTTAGAGATCGTGTCTGTATTGACATTTGGGTTTCAAATTTTGCCTTTTATTTAACTGATGCCTGGTGTCCTCTTAGCACATAAGAATCATTTGAAGAACTTTTTGGTTGCTTTCGTTTTTAATATATGGGCTTAGGCTCCACCCCCGATCCACTCAATTTAAATTTCTGGAAGTATAAGCTTGGGCTAGTTAATGAGGCTAGTTAATGGATGAGATAAGATAAAAGGTAGTCTCAACATAAGAAAATGGGGGGAAAAGTAGATGTCACTTGTCACAGATGGAGGATGCTAACAGGTTGAGAGAACTCAAGGCCAGATTTTGCCATGAAGCTGGATTCAGCTGATTTGGCAAAGCTGCGTGTGTAAGCACACTCAAATCAATAATATTTTCAAATTACCACTTGGGAATCAAAGCTCTCACAATGCATTTGGTTTTGCTGTTAATTGAGGAATCTTAATTAAATATTACTAAATCTCTTTAAACAACATGAGTGAGAAGACCCAAATGGAAAGCACCAAACTACAGCTGAAATAGAAGATAATTTTTTAAAGCACATGTCCAAAGGTGGAGGGGGAGGGGGAAGAGTCTTAATGTCAGTAGACTAGAAAGATAGTCATTCCACCCAAAAAATGTAGCCATCAAAATGGGCTTACAGCAAAAAAAAAAAAAAAATGAAACAAACAAACAAAAAAAAACTCACTTCTTTACATTGTTTTCATGCTGTGATTTAAATTTTTTTAAATAAATAATATTTGCAAATTTTTAAATTTTGAGGTAGGCTATGAAATTCCTTGAAAGTCATAGAAAAATCTAGCCACACTCCGAACCTCTTTTTTTTTTCATCTTGTAACTTGGGGACAAATCAATGAACACTTTTAAAGAACTCCTGTGTGCGAGGCATAATAAACTCAGGTGTTACATGTTTCTCATTTCTATTGCCATTATGCATTTTAATCACTGAATAAATAAGTGGTTTGCCATATCCTTCCCATAGCACTTTATTTACCAGAAAGGAAATCAAAATCATCAGAATAGCTCATCTTTATCATCTATACCTAAATAAACGTTGAATAATCTTGTCCCTTCTGTTCCTTAAACGACAGAAGTAATTTACCACCTGCCCTCACTTTTCACAGTATTTCACTGGAGAAAGCCGTGTTTATTTTGCAGAATCATCTGCTTGTAACGATAAGGCATTAGGTTCTTCCACTTCTCCATCTGTGTTTGTAAATGATGGTGTGGCCACAAGTAATTGGAATCCTTTTGGAGGCATGCTTTTAATAAAATAAAATGAGAATTTTGATAAATATCCTATTAACCTCCCCATTTACAGCCTAAAACAGAACTCGAGACTAGAAAGTACTTTTATTTTTCAGTCTCAGGTAGTTCCACACACATATGAAGATAAAATTTCTGTTTACACCTCCAGGCAAACCAGCACCATTTACAACTTATAACTGTAAACGAGGCCAAAATGTGACATGAATCATCTTCCCAAAATAGTTCCTCTGGCATAAAAGAGACTGTCTTACAAACACAGACAGGAGGAAAGGGTATTTCTGCCATCGTATTTATTATGTCTGGGGCACCTAGAGCCACATCCCAGAGCGCCCACCTGCAGTCTGCAGGATGGGTGCAGGTGAGACCATGCAATTACTCCGTGAAGGGAAGTCCAGTTACATGGCAGTCACCGAGAAATCTTTACTTTCTGACACACAGATAGAGCTTGGTAAAATCCAGCCGTGTAATCAGAAAAAAAACAATAATTATATAACAACCATTGTAAGTCTAACAGAATCATTCTCATTAATGGAAATAAATATGTGCATATGCATGTATGTCTATATAACTATACTATATGCTAGACTATGTGGTATGGTATAACAACTATACTACATAAAATATACATCAATAAGTACGTATAACATATATAAATATATATGATAACTCATCGACATGGCCCCATTTACTAAATAAATCATTCTAGCCACTGAGTTACTGTCATTCATTGATTAACCAATGGCACTCATTCAGAGCTTATTAGAGGAGTGAATTGTTGACGCAAACTCATACCACTCACTCCCCAGTCAAAAATTCCCAATCCCCCCCAGCCCCTCACTTGCCACACCCCCACCCCCATCTAAAGAAAAGGTTCAGGGGTGGACTCCTGTTGCCATTTCAATCACAAAACCTACTGCCTAACTCAGGGCTCAACGCAGAATGATGCCAGAGCTGCAAGGACCCACAGTGCCCTGGGCCCCTCTGTCTGTCTGACTCCTACCTGTTCTTCAAGGCCCAACCAAGTTTAGCACCGGTCGCCCTCCCCACTGGTCTCTCTCTTCAGAATCCCTGTAAACTATGTAATTTGCAGGGGATTTTCACATGCACAAAAAAAACACACTTTTTCATCATGTGTCCCTGTCAATAAAAGGTTGTAAATATTTGCTCGCGGTGTAATTGCACTATAAATAACGTGTGTATAGCACTGGTCTCTCTCTCGCCGCTCACATCTGACATGTATCAGTAAACCCCATCGGTGCTACCATCACATCCCGCATGCAGCTCCTTCTCCTTAACTCGGCCCTGGTCCAAGCCACCACTGTCTCTCATCTGGAAAACTGCTCTCGGCCTCCCTCTGGAATCCCTGCCCTGCCTTCTATTTTCAACACGGCAGCCTGGAACGGTCCTCTAGAAACAGAAGCCTAGAAACGCCTTTGCTCACACCCTCCAGCGGCTTCTCATCTCACTCAGGAAAAGCCAGGGTCCTGTTCCATAGCCACAAGCACCTGCCCACACGCGGGACGCACCCCGTCATCTCTCTGCTTCATCTCCTGACCCTCCTCCAGCTCACTCCGCTCCGGTCACAACTGAACCGCGACCTCCACGACCTCCTCGCCCTCCCGCACTCCTCCAGGCACGTTCCCAGCTCGGGCGTTAGCGTTTGCTCTGTGTGTGTATGTGTGTATGTGTGTGTGTGTGCGTGTGTGCGCGTGCCCGCGCGTGCCTGAGCGCACTGAACACTCTTCCCCCGGAGAGCCACGTGGTCCCCACTCCCACCTCCTGCACGGCTGCTCCAACAGTGCCTTCTCCCGGAGGCCCCCCATTTCCCCCAGTCCTGCCCGCCCCGCCTCTGCTTTAGGCTCCTCCTTAGTATATGTCTCCACCTAACGCGCTGTATCATTTCCTTCACCCATCGTGTTTATCACCTGTCCTCCCCAACCAGGACGCAGCTCCCGAGAGCGGGGGGTCCTGGCCGGGGTGCTCGCTGCTGTGACCCAGCCCCGGGACTCGTCCCGTCATCACCCACCGACACGAACGACAGCAGACGTCAGCGGGGAGCTCTCCCTCCGCGCGCGCGGTCTCTTCAGATGCGAGCTAACGGTGGGAGATGTCAATCCACGCGGCCTTCAGGGAACCTCATAAATGTCACGTCTCGTGGCTGTGTTGCGTCAGACCTGATGACACCATCGCTGGGGAGCTGTACTGGGAGTCTAGGCTCGTCGATGAAATTGCAATATGAAAGAAGACCCAATCTGTTCTTCCTGCACCCCAAAAACTGTCTCGCACACTCCTGGGTCTTGCAAAACTCCCCTCTGAGACAAACCCGGCCACTCCATTCTCTGGAGCTCAAAGATGCCCTGCTCCTTACTTTTACTAGCTCTTCAAACATTTTTGGCTTATCGTTTGAAGTAACTCACCATTTTTGATGGCAGGGGCCATATCATATGCAGTACTGTGTAGTGGTTAAAGCACAGACGCCGGACTCCTGGGTTCAAATCTCTGCCTCAGCTCCTACTGCGTGACCACTAGCAAGTCGCTTTACCTGTCTGAGCCTGTTTCCTCAGCTGAGATGGTCAAAGCATTTCCTCATAAGGTTGCTAACAGGCCGTAAATGAGTTAATTCTTGTAAACCATGTGGAAAATCAGGTGCGTGGCGAGGGCTGTATAAGAATGTGCTTTATTGTTATTATCGAATATTCACTGATACACATAGCTTAGTTTGGATGTGGGAGGTCCGCCCTAACTACTTATGCGCCGATCACACATCTGTACAACCATGTCTTATTTTCCATATTCCGATGTTTTGACATTAGGAGACTTGCTGACCCCAAGGAGACCACCGCCCGCCAAACTCCAACCGATGGCGAGCAGCTCATCTGCAAGTGCGCTTTTCCAATACAAACCACCCAGTCCCGAGCCCATGCCCGGCCACCTCTTTTATTGGCCTCACACCCCAGCCATTATCCACCGGCCCTGGGTACCCGATAACGAGTGACAGCCCCACGACCCAGAGCCAGCTGAAGTCATTCAAACTAGCCAGTTGTAAACTGCCCACCCCGCCTCACCCACTCCCTCCTGGGGGGAGCACGGGACAGGCTCCCGCCACCCCAGCGGCCTGCCATGTCACCAACTACCTTTTCCATGGCGATCACCTTCTAATCTGTTGGCCTCCCCAAACTCAGACCTTCTGTCGACTCACTCTATTTTAGTAGAATATCATGGTCAACAGAATGGCGATGTCCCTTATCCCTACGCCGCACCTCTGGCTTCTCCTGTCTGCATGGACTTCCTCCCTACCTTGGCAAGACATACGGGCTCCCGTCCCCAGCTCATTAGTCACAGGCTTAGGTACTAAGCCACCGGAAGTCATCTCACTCTTCCTCTCTGACTTTGCTATCACTTCACTGCTCATCTCACATTTCTGTCCTCACCTGACCTCTAGCCCTGACCCCGCGGCCTTGGCCATTCCTTCTCTCCTGACGGTGTCTCCACATCCTCTTGCCCAGTCCGTGTGTTGATGTCTGTCACTAACACCCCCTCAGGCTTCACCCGTCCCCAGAGTGTCTACTCTCTATGTGCTGGCTGCGTGGTC